ACTGGTGTAGCGCGCTTAGTGCACTCTATGTCGCTTAGCGCGTTTTGTTGTGCAGAGTCAGTGAGTTCTTTTTAATTTTTCACTTGCTTTCCTTTATCCCACTTCCACATATGCTTTAAATAGTAAATAATATTAGTATAATTAATTCTTTTGTTGTTGTTTGGACTCAAATTTTGGTTCGATAACTTGAAGTTGCTTTTGGTGATTTTCCAAGTTTGAGTGTTTCAACTTGCGAATGCATGGTAATGATTTGGTTAAAGTTTTGTACACGTTCGAGATATGCGTTTATCGCTTTCTATACTTTAGCATATTCATGATACTTAGACTTTTTACAATTTTTATATCATTCATTTTTTGTATACTTGTTCATTTGTGGATCACTTTAGTTCCTACCCTTTTTGTGAGGTAGCTTTCTACTATTCACATATGCTGGAGGCCACAATTCTTGTTTTAATTGGATTTTATTATGTTTAATCTTTTGTTTGTTTTAATTGTATGAAAGTTTGAACACGATCAAGACATTTTTTGTTTTATTTTGAGCATAACTACCTTGGCCAAATAGTCAATTCACCTCGTGAGTGTATGATCATTAGTAACCCCTTTTTATCGATATCCATATTGTTTTTGATAAATGCTTGTCTATGAGTGTTTGATTCATTTTTGTATGGATATTGATTCTTTGTTTTCTTGAATCCTAAACTATGACTTTTAGTTGAATTTTTACATTATGATGATGGTTGAATTCAAGTTGGGGAGAAGAATGTTTATGTGCTTATGTTGTGATTGTTATGAGGTTGTGAAAATAAAAAGAAAGAAAAATTGAAAAAGAAAGAAAAGAAAAAGAAAGAAAAAAATTGAAAAAGAAAGGAAAAAAAAAGAAAAAAAAGAGAAAAGTTTTGAAAAAAAAAGAAGGAATAATGTGCTAATGAGTGATGTGTGTTGGTTTGAAATTTAGAATGAAAAACAAGTTTGATTTAAATTATTTTGCTCGAGTCTTTGTGATTTGATCACTCATTTAGGTTTAGGCAAGTTTTTGTTTTGATTAACTTTAGGACTTGTCCCTTGTTTGTTAACCAAACCACATTACAACCTAGAAAAGTCATTGAGATTCTTGCCTTTGTATTTTCAATGTGACTTTTTGGATGAATGCATAATTTAGTCTTTTGTTTGCAAGATTGTGGATGAGTAGAAATACCTTACTTTGTGTGTTTTTCATCTACCGATAATTTTTTTTGCTAGGTGTGATTCATTTGTGAACTAGTGTTGTTTTAGAATGTTTGGTATTTTCTTTGTATTTAAAATTCGTTTCATGTTTATGTTATCATCGTAATTTAGTGGTAAGTATATTTTTTCGTGTGTACCATTTTTAATTTGGACCATTACATTTGTTTTCCGTTTTCAAAACTTGTTGATTCATGATATTTTGATTGATTACTTTTGGTTCTTTGAGTTGTTTGGCCGTGTTTGAGGACAAACAAGTTCAAGTTAGGGAGAGTTTGATAAGTGAAAATTGTAGCTATTTTTGTATATATTTTTTGTTGCACTTATAGACTTTTTGTTGTTAATATCGTTAAGTAAACCCGACTTTTGTGTAAATACGTTTAGTTTGTGTTTTTGTGTACATAGTGTATCGTTCAATGTTTTACCATTCATTATGTAGGCATTTGTTGCATTTTGGAGCATTGAGGAATAAGGTGTCGAAGGCACGACACTGGATGCACGTTTTTGGAATAAAAGACCAATTTTGGGACGTTCTGTCTAGGAGAGCCCGCTTATCGCGCAGAGGCCGCTAAGTGTGAGTGCGGTCAGCATATTTTGTAGCGTGCTGCTTGCGTTTGACAATTTGGCAGAACCAATATTTTGAAGCCCGTTTAGCGCGGATAACGCGCTTAACGCGATTTTAGGAGGTTTGATGTGTAAAATAAGGAAGTCACGCTTAGCGCGCCAGGCCCGCTTAACGCGGTCTACTGAGATTTGTTTTATAACTTCATTTCGTTCATTTTTTAGGTTATGGTTTTGGGGAAGTTTTTGCTCCCAACTCCACCAACTTTAATTTTGTTAGGATTAACTTAGATAAAAACTATGGAGCTTGCATACAGATGATCCAGGGTGAATTGCTCTTTGATCAGTACTGACAAACCGGTAAATTTGCGGTTCATTTATCTTTTTATTTTTGTACTCTCTATTGGTTAGGTTTGTATGTATATTTTCTTTGAACTGGTGTATATTTGTCTCCCTTGGCGTTATATAAAACTTGCTTTACGAATCTTTGTGGATTGCCCTAGATTTTTGCTCTGCGCTAGGGGTTTGAGTTATTATAGACAGATACTGCTTAAATTCTTATCTAGAATGATTATCTAATAGTGTCTGAATTCTAGAGATAGATTTAGCATTGTTATTCACTTAGGGTGTCTATGATTAATGCATCTGTGTTGTTTGTGTCGCTCTGAGAGATCGTCAATGCAAGCGAGCACATTTGACTTCTGTGTTGTTGAGGTGGTTGAGAGGTCGCTACCAAGGTGATACAGTCGAATTCTCAATTTGGGTTAGAAATGACTTAGGTTGTGAGTGACATCTGTTGACAATGATGAATATCGTAGGTTGAGTATAACAGGTCGATATGTTTAAGTATGTGAGAAGTAGTATATATGCATGCTTGATAAGTTATTCCTTTTTACTTTTTATACGTTTGTTTTTTGTTGATACTTTTACTTTCAACCCAATTATCCCCCAAACTCATTAACAAGAAAGTTGTCGAACGGCGAATCAATAATTAATCTGTGTGGACACGATACGATATAACCTAAATTCACTCAGTAAATTAATAACTTACTTTTTGCATGCCGCTTTACTGCAGTAAGAAAGTCTAAGCTTGTGAAATAGATGGCTAGCCAACTTTCATTTGCAGGAAGAATAACTTTAACTAAGAGCGTCTTGGAAGCTATCCCAGCCTATCATATGATGACTTCAATGTTACCTAAGTCTTGTGTGGAGGAAATCCACAAGATTCAAAGGAATTTCATTTGGGAGGGGGGGTACAGATAATCATCGTAAGTATCACGCGGTTGGTTGGGAGAAGGTCACTAATCCAAAAACTCATGGTGGGCTCAATATTAGGCGCTTGCAGAAGATGAATAATGTGTGTATCTTGAAGTTGGTTCGAGCCTTGCAAGCTGAGGGGAAGGATTTGGGGTGTCAGGTGTTGAGAGGAAAATATCAACGTACCAATGGGGGAGAAGCTGTTATTGCAAGATTGACAAACTCTCGCTTCTGGAGAAATATTGCCAAATTATGGCAAGTTCTGGAGGATTTTGGTGGATGGATAGTTAGAGATGGAAGAACTATTAATTTTAACCATGATGCTTGGATAGAAACAAAGCTTAGATTAGTGGAGTGTAAGGTGAATATTCTAGAGAATTTTATGCATGCAAAGCTAGCGAACGTAGTTATGGATGGACAGTGGAATTGGAACCTGCTTGCTGATTGGATGCCTGCGGATTTATCAGGAAAAGTTGGAGCCATTCTACCTCCGCAACAGCTACGGACCTGATGAAAAGTTTTGTGCAGAAAATGATTTGGGTAGTTTTTCTATAGCAAAAATGTATACATCTCTTTGCAATTTTTCTACACATGAGGAAGATAAGTCCTAGAAGCAAATTTGGCGAATTAAAATTCTGAAACGTGTTAGGGTTTTTGTTTGCTTAGTCAAGCATGAGAGATTGCTTACAAATTAGAAAGCATTGAATGGGGCTCAATATGAATAATTGTGAGTATTGTTATGGTTTCCCTGAAATGATGCTTCATGTGTTGCGTGACTGTTAATTGGCTAATCAGTTTTGGACTAGTGTAGTCTCTACTTCCAAGAGATATCGCTTCTTTACTAGTAGTTTATCAAATTGGATTAACATGAATCTTGGAAGCGGGAGGGGTCAAGGCTGGCCTAAGTATTGATAGATTTTGGGCGACGACTTGTCATTCAATGTGGATGTGAAGAAATAAAGAGAAATATGAGGATGGTTTCGTAAGGCCCTATAATCATGTGGAGAGAGTGCATAAGTTATTAGAGTATTATGGCGTGGTAGAAGGTATCATGAAGGAAAATTGTATGGGGAGAGTTACGATGTTGCAAGTACATTTTGAGCCTCATAAGAATGGGTGGATCTGCATTAACGTAGATGGTGTATGTAAAAGTGGCATTATTGATTGTGGTGGTGTGATTCAAGGGGATGCGGGAGATGAATTAGTGGTTTCTCCAAATTTATTGGGTATGGAGATGCTTACCTCGCTGAGATATGAGGTTTATACAAAGGGTTACAACTTGCTAGGCATCTGAAGTTTGATAAGATTGAAATTCGAGTTGATTTAATGGTAGTGGTGGGAGATATTAAAGGGGAGTAGAATATCCATCGTAATGGGACTAACTTGGTATCGAAGATCATTTGTATATGTGCATAGGGAAGCTAATTAACTAGCTGATGCTTTGGCTAATTACAATTTCTCCTTGCAGGATAATTATAGTTTGTTCGGAGATTGCCTGAATGATCTTGAGCATATTCTTCAAGTTGATGAGCATAGATTTAGTATTTCTAGAGTTGTTTGCTTGTAGTTTGCTTTTTTCAACCTCTTTTCAATAAAAAAAATTTCTTGTCTTTAACCGTCACACGTTATTAATATATTAAAACAAAATACATACTTAGACACTAAATTTTGAATAAAATCTCACCTAAATAATATTAATTATATTATTTTCTTTTTCATTTTCAACCAATATTATTTAATATATTTTACAACTGGTGAGTATATATATTTTACCATCCATAGTTTTGATTGAAGAAAAACAAAATAATTTTTGTTGACAGATGAAAAAAAAATGGTGTTTATTAATTTATTTTGTGATATAATATTTTATTTCTGTAATTTATATTAAAATAAAAATGGCAAAACCTTTATCCATTTAGATAACCTCTGTTATCGTGTTTCATTCACACTTGACTCCATCAATGGCTTCATCTCTCCACCAAACCTCCACTTTCCTCAAATCCCACCACCACTCTCAATCCCCAAAACCCTCAACCACCACACGCCGGAGCTTTATTCCGGTACACTGCGGCGGACCGCGTTCCCAGCGTGGACCCCTAATAAAAGGGCGGTTCCTATCCATCGAAGCAATCCAAGCCATCCAAACCCTAAAACGCCTCCACCGAACCAAGCCACCGAACCAAACCCATCTCCTAACCACCACGCTAACCCGCTTAATCAAATCCGACCTAGTCGCAACCCTAAAGGAGCTTCTCCGTCAACAACAATGCACGCTCGCACTTCATGTCTTCTCGGCCGTTAGATCTGAATACGGAGCAGATCTTTCTCTCTACGCGGAAATCATACAGGCGCTCGGTAACTGCGATATGCCGGATGATGTGGACCGTTTGATTCACGAGATTGAGAATGAAGGTGGGATTAGCGTTGATGAGGATCAGAGGAAAGGGCTTTTGAGTTTGATCAAAAGTGTTGTTGGAGCGAAGAGAAGAGAATCGATGGTTAGGGTTTATGAGATGATGAAGAGAAGTGGGTGGGGTTTGGAGGTTGAACCTGATGAGTATGTTGTTAAGGTTTTGAGTAATGGGTTTAAGGGTTTTGGAGATGAAGAACTTGCTCAACAGGTTCAAGATGAGTACGATAGGTTTTGTAAGGCTAAATTTGATTCGTTTCGGGTTTAGTATACCTTTTTTTTTTGCATGGTGATAACTTGTTTTTTGTTTATGTTTGGATTGTCCTAGTCCTAGAAACAGTGTTAGACCATAACACATTTTACAGATAGAGTTTATGTAATGTAGAATAATATAATATGGTAAAGGAAGATTCATCATATTTCTAATGTAAACTTTCTGAGCATGTGAGCAACCAAGAAATTTATGGACTTGATCATATAAATAAAATTTAGTCATATGTTTCTAACTTGTCCAAGAACAATTGATGAGGAGTTGAAAGGCAGATTAACTAATTGCGATGATGCCAACCCTTATGGGAAGTTACATTCACAACAGTAATTGCTCCCAAAAGCACGGCGCCTGAGAGCACAAGAATTCTCAATGTTTGTTGCAAAACATCCCCAAGGTCTGAGGCTTACTTGTCGGTTGCTCAATATAAAATATATGTTTGGAATAATTTACACAAAATAAACAAATAATATGGGATATCATGCCATTGCTTATCTAACCTATAGCGATAAATTTTGCTCATGCTTATCTAACCTATAGCGATAAATTTTGCTCATAATTTACTTGAGATTTCTTATTCAAATTGAAATTCAGTTGACTTGGCCAATTATACTCAACTGTACTCATTCAATAACATATATTGAATATGATTTCATACACTTGTACCTTTTTTTTAATCATCTGAAAACTATAAATTAATGGTTAGTTAAACTATTCTAAATCAACTATTTCTCTTGTTTGAAAAATTGATGTCTTTGAAATAAAGTATAATAGATTTTTTTTATTTTTTATGATCAAGAAACACATAAGAGTTGAAAAAGAAACAAGAAGAAACAACAAGGAATTGATTATAATTGTTATTCTTTACTTTTTCTTAAAACAAGATTACAAGTGCACAAAAATAACAAATAACCTCTTTCACCCTAAATTAGGATTTGCAGTATGCAATGATGAGAGACTAGTATGCTATTTATAATAAACCTAACATACTAAACTAATGAGTTTTTTCACAAATATCCATTACAAGCTAACTTAGGATACAAGCTAACTTAAACAATTGAACATAACAAGCAGACCTAATACGACATACTAACAACCCTAACATTTCGACAATCACATACTATAACACACTTCAACTACAACATGTAGGCCTTCGATACCAGCATGTGAACAGACTTCGACGACATGCTAACAACCCTAACATTTCGACAATCACATACTAGAACACACTTCAACTACAACATGTAGGCCTTCGATACCAGCATATGAACAGACTTCGACGACATGCTAACAACCCTAACATTTCGACAACCACATACTAGAACACACCTCAACTACAACATGTAGGCCTTCGATACCAGCATGTGAACAGACTTCGACGACATGCTAACAACCCTAACATTTCGACAATAACATACTAGAACACACTTCAACTACAACATGCAGGCCTTCGATACCAGCATGTGAACAAACTTCGACGACATGCTTAAACCCTGTCGAACTAGAAGCTTTTGACCCAATAGAATTTGATCCAATATCTCACAAATCTCCACCTTAGAACAAAATATATTATCAGAGAACAAACTAGCTTTTTTCACGCAGCTTTATTAACTACATACAGTGGAAAAACTTGCAATTGGGCAATGTCTTGGTGATCATATCAACAATATTATGATTTGTCGAAAGCTTCAACACATGGACTTCTCCACACTCGATTACCCATCTGATAAAATGAAGCCTCACATCGGTGTGCTTGGTCCGCTCATGATAGGTTGAATTCTTTGACAAATGTATTTCACTTTGACCATCACATTTAACAATGATAACTCGACCTTGAAGTTTCAGCTCCTTAACAAAATCTTCAAGCCACAATGTTTCTTTCATAGCTTTACTTAAGGCAATATGCTATGCTTCAGTGGTTGATAATGAGACAACCTTCTGAAGTGTTGCTTTCCAACTAATTGTTATACCAAACATAATGAAAACATATTCAAAAATAGATTTTCTAGAATCCATACAACCTACATAATCAGAGTCGATATATCATTCGATTACTGCTTTACTATCTTCACCCAAGGCTCCACCATAAATTAAGAATCTCTTCAGAGACCCATTTATGTACTCTAGAATCAACTTCAATGCTTGTTAGTGAGCCTTTCCAAGTTTTTCCATGTACCTGCTTACAAGACTTACTACATGTGCTATGATGGGTCTAGTACAAACCATAACATACATTAAAGAACATATTATATTAGCATATGGAATGCTATTCATATAAGTTCTTTCGACATCAGTACTGAGACACTGATCTATACTTAACTTGAATTAAGGGTTTGTCAGAGTCACAACAGGCTTTGAATTCGACATACCAAATTTGTCGAGAATCTTTTGTAGGTATGCATCTTGAGATAAGTATAATTTTGACTGCTTTCCATCACTTCGGATGTCAATCCCAAGAATCTTGGATGCAACTCTCAGATCCTTCATGTCGAACTCCTTATTGAGTTCGGCGTTCACTCTCATTACATCTTCAATATTGTTGCTTGCAATGAGAATATCATCCACATAAAGCAACAAAATAACAAATGAATTACCAAGTCTAAATCTGAAGTAAACATAGTGGTCGAACTGACTTCTAATGAAACTTATGTGTGCCGTGAACCTGTCGAACTCCTATTCCACCGCCGAGGAGATTGTTTCAGCCTATATAAAGATTTATTCAACTTGCACACATAATCTTTATTTCCCTTTTAGACATACCCTTAAGATTGCCTCACCGGGATTGTTTCATCTAGATCACCATACAAGAACGCAATCTTCACATCCATTTGTTCTAGTTCAAGGTTAAACTGTGCCACCATGGAAAGCAACATTTGAATGGACATGTGCTTCACAACAGGAGAAAACACATCATTAAAGTCGACACCTTCTTTCTGAGTGAAACCCCTTGCAACCAACCTTATCTTGTATCTTTTCGACGCCACTCCTTCGATTCCTTAACTTTGAAAATACATTTACAGCTGACTAACTTAGCTCTAGCGGGTTTCTTGATCAGTTCCCAAGTGTTATTATCATGAAGAGATATCATCTCATCATTCATGGCCTTGAGCCATTCAGTCTTATTTCGACTCCTCATAACTTCCTTATGGTCTCTAGATTCTTCGTCTAGAACCTCACTTGAAGAGATTAAGGCATAAGCTATAATATATGCATACCCAAGTCTTTGAGGTGGATTGACGATTCTTCTTGATCTATCTCTTGCCAATAGGTAGTCATCGAGACTTTCCTTAACTTCCTCAACATCTTTTGCTTCTTCTTCGACTTCATTTGAGATACACAATTCATCATCAACATGCTCCACCTTAATAGGAATCTCTCTCTGTTCCAGCTCTTCGTCAGATATTTTTTCACTTTGACCAACATCATCAGTTTTCTTGAAAGGCAGTTCAGCTTCATTGAAAACTACATCTCGATTGGTGATAATCCTCTTGTGACCTAGCTCTAGGCACCATAGCCTATAAGCTTTGACTCCTTCATGGTATCTCATAAACATGAATTTCAGAGCTCTAAGTTCGACCTTGTCTTGCCTAATGTGAGCATAGGATACACATCCAAATACTCTTAGTTTATCGAGATCCGGTGGATGTTCCGACCAAACTTCTTCATGTGTCTTCATGTCTAATGCAGTCGAAGAACATATGTTTATCAGATATGTTGCTGTCGAAACAGCCTCAGCCTAAAACACATTCTTTAATCCAGCTCTAGTCAACATGCATCTAACTCTTTCCAAAATAGTTCGATCGAACCTTTCAGCCAAACTATTTTGTTATGGAGTACCTGTGGTAGTTTTATGCCTTATAATACCAGAGGCAGCATAAAAGTTGTCAAAAGCCTCATTGCAAAATTCAAGGCCAATGTCATTTCTCAACCTCTTAACCTTTTTTCCAATTTGATTTTCGACCAAAGTCTTCTAAATTTTGAAAATCTCAAAAGTTTCATCCTTAGTCTTCTGGATGAATACCCATAAATTTCTGGAATAATCATCAATTATGGATAGAAAATACCTTGCTCGTGAATGTGATAGACACCTTGCAGGCCCCCAAAGATCAGCATGGTGTAATCAAGAGATCCGTGTGTTCTTTGTTTGCCTTTGTTGAACTTCACTCAGCAAGATTTTTCAAGTACATAGGGTTCACAAAACTTTAGCTTTTCGACTTTGTCTCCACCAAGCAAATTTTATTTCCCCAGTTTGACCAGACCCCTTTCACTGACATGGTCCAATCTCATGTGCCAAATTTCTGTCTTCGACAAAGATTCTGTGGATGCAATATTTGTCGAACCACTTACAACTTTAGCCTCAAGGATATATAAGTCTTGTTTCTTCATGCCTCTCAAGACTTCCTTCGACCCCTTCATGACTCTTAGGATGCTTTTCTCTCCTTGGAAAACATATCCTTTCTTGTCGAATTCACCAAGAGAAATCAAATTTCTCTTCAAATAAGGTACATACCTGACTTCAGTTAATAACCTTATTAACTCATCATGGAGCTTAAATCTCACAGATCTAACACCTGCAATCTTGCAAGCTTTGTTGTTTCCTAGAAATACAGATCCACCAACTTGATCACATAATTTCTCGAACAAGTCTTTGTTTGGAGTCATGTGCCAATTGCAACCTAAATTCATAATTCACTTTTTTCTTGAGTCGCTGCTTGAAACTACAAGAATATTAGATGAGTCGAAATCATCTTGAACAATGGTTGCGTTTCCATTATCCTTACCTCCATGATCTTTCAGGAGTTCAGGGTACACCTTTCTTGTGTGACCTTTCTTCTTACAATGATAGCATAAAATACTAGATGTCTCGCCACTGTAAGACTTCTGCTGACTTTTACCTTTCTTCTTATCGAACTTACCATCCTTTTGCAAGAATTTTCCCTTAACAACTAAATCTTTACCAACCGTTGAAGGTTTATGCTCCTTTCGTTTGTTCAAGTCCTTAGAATACAAGGCTGGTTGAACTTTTTCAAAGGTCATAGACTCCCTTCCATACAAAAGAGTTTCTTTAAAGTGGGCATGTGTTCTGGGCAAAACGCACAACAACAACAACGCTTGATCTTCATCATCGATCTTCACATCAATATTTTCAAGATCAAGAATCAGCTTGTTAAATATATCCAACTGCTCAGCCAACACTTTGTCTTCAATCATCTTGAATGAATACAAAGCTTACTTCAGGTAGAGTCGATTTACCAGCGATTTGGTCATGTACAAGCTTTCAAGTTTCACTCATAACCCTGATGTCATCGTCTCCTTTGATACCAGTCGAAGAACCTTATCACCAAGGCTCAACAAGATTACGCTGTGGGCTTTTTCTATCATGGTCGTCTTTTCTTTTCCTGTTAACGCAATGTCCATAGCCGCCGCTCCCTTCAACACTTCCAAACAACCCTGTTGAACCAATAAGACTTTCATCTTCAAGCGCCACAGACCGAAATCGTTCACTCCGATGAACTTTTCAATCTCATACTTTGTTGAAGGCATTTTCTCTATGCTCACCGCACCAATTTGTTGTGAAACATGATACCTTTGAAACAAAGTATAACAAAGTTCTTCAAGGAAAGAAACCCACAAGGATAGAAAAGAATAAAAAACACAAAGAACAATAAGGAATTGATTATAATTATTATTCTTTACTTTCTCTTCAAACAAGATTACAAGAGCACAAGAATAACAAATAACCTCTCTCACTCTAAATTATGATTTGTAGTATGCAATGATGAGAGACTAGTATGCTATTTATAATAATCCTAACATATTAAACTAATGAGATTTTTCACAAATATTCATTACAAGATAACTTAGGATACAAGCTAACTTAAACAATTGAACATAACAAAAAGGGCCAATACGACATGCTAACAACCCTAACATTTCGACAACCACATACTAGAACACACTTCAACTACAACGTGTAAGTCTTTGATATCAGCATATGAACATACTTTAACGTCATACTATCGAACCAGAAACTACCGTTCGACCCAATAAAAATTAATTCAATATCTCGTACATGTCTTTGTGAACTTACTTGAAATTCCAAAAATTAATCCTAATTTCATTTTCTACAATTTTTACTATCTAATTTTGAGTCATTCCATGTAATTATATAACTTGTATAGAACTAGACATATATATATATATATATATATATATATATATATATATATATATATATATATATATATATATATATAATCATGAAATTTATACCTTTCTTCCTAAAACCTGTATAGACAAATTCTACCTGTTTCAGTACTGTAGCTTCAACTAAAAGTTCATGTCATGATATCATTACAAATCTCCTTCCTACAATATCTACTTTTCAAATTTCAAAACAGAACATGTAAGAGAGTTACCAATTAAAAAGATATGGTAAGTTTTATGACATGTCTTCCATACGAATTATGAAATTCAACGTCATAATATTTAGTAATAAACATTCTAATCAAGTGGCAAACAACCCCTAAATTGAAATTTTGGGATTTCTAAAGAACTAGTTTATTTACTCTAATTAATCATTTAACTCATTGAACTAGTATTTTAGTTTTATGATTAAATTCTAACAGGAGATTGTTCTCATATGAAAATTAAATATATAAATATGAGAAGATATTGAGTTTTAGGACGGAAATTGTCGCACATAAAAAAATAGAGACTCAATGTTAACTTCTCATACATTATTATTTTAATAATTTTTGTTTCCCTCATAATTTTTAATTTGAAAATAGTATTCTTTCATATGTTACATATATGGACAAAGTCATTTTTATGGTGGATTTGTACTTAAAAGTTTTCTGAATCTCTAACTAATATGTTTCAAGAAAGTAAAAGTTTTTTTATCATATTTTTATTTACAGTTAAAAAAAGACTTTATTATTGTCGATTTCAAAAGGAAGGAAGTAAAACAAACAAATTTAAACATGAAAGCGGAAGGTTCTCACAACGCCGACTCCGTGCAAAGATGTGGCTAAGACTCGATGAGGAGAAGTATAAACAGGAGGTCTTGATTAAAATAAGCGTCAAACTTAGACACAAAATTCCCACATTGATTTTCTGCATTGAGAGTGCGGGTGATCATGATTCTACCGCTCTCACATAATTTATCTTTGGTGTCTTGAATCAATACAACATATTTGTGGTACTTGTTTGCGAAACTTTTGATAAGGTTGAACAAAGGAAGGATTGTGTATAAGAAATTGAGTTTTTGAAACCCAAATCCTTTGTGATTGAGATTCCCGTATGGATGGCATAAAGCACCGTCTGAAGAATATTTGATGAGTCGACTAGGTATCTAGAAAATCCTTTATGCCAATCATCATCAAGTTGCAAATGATTATGCAAAAACTTGTTCCGGTAAGAGTCACAAAGAAACTTCCATCAATATTTATGATATTGCAAGGGAGGTTGAAGGAGTTCCATTTGATGTGTCTCTTTTTTGTATACTCGTGATGAGGGTTAATGAAACTAGATAGGAAATAGACCTTCATGTTGCGAGCAATCGAGGTAAGACAAATGATTTTATGAGCGATGCGAGTAGACTTTTTATTCCTTCAAGTCCACCTAGTTCTTGATGCAAAAATATTGTAAGGAGCATCTATCATACCATTTTTAAGTTAATTGTTGACATCCTAGGTTGTGAATTTTTTTTGAATTAGAAAAACATTGAATCTGTGAAAAAAATAGTTTCACGACAATCTCTAACACTGAATAAAAAATCATAATTCTAAAATGCAACGAGTGCACAAATCCAAAGTGCTCATATTAAGGTAATCCAACATGGAAAGTAAGAATCAAATTAAGCTTAGAAGGTCGTTCTAAAAAAATCCAGCACTATAGGCCTTCTTGATTCCCATCTACTTCAATTGAGACTTGAGTAAATTGATCAATATACAATTGCAAGCTTTCTTTCCTCCTTTGAACAATCCATGTTAGAGTTACATCAGTGATATGGAGATGCTCCAGGGATGTGAATTCCATTGAAAACCTCTTATGGAATTCTTCCCAAGAATTAACCCATCCATTAGGTAGACCATTAAACCATTATTGAGTTGGTTCAACAAGGTTAACATGAACAACTTGCATTTAGATGCGTCTTCGGTACCAAAGTAGCTTAACTGTCCATTTAATAGCTGCATGTGTTCATCAAGATCTACCTTTCTTTCATAATCAGTTAGCTCGGGTGGCTTCTCCATATACTTTGGGATCCTACTTTCCAAAATTCATACTGATAACGGGTGTTTTGGCTCCACTTTATCTGGGTGAATTTCTGCTTAAATCGGGGTTGAAGCTTAACTTCATCTACCTCATTCGAGACTAGAAGGGGGAGTATGATGTTTTTTTCCTTCTACACCGATCCTTTGATCGGGGAGCCTCGTTTCCCTTTGTCCCGCTTGGTTCTGAGACCACAACACAAGTCTTTCCTAAAACAGCTTCTTGAATTGTATTCTTATGGAAGGGAGCATTGTGGAGGCTTTCTTCGAGGCGTTGGAGCCTTTGTTTAATAAAATTCAAGTTTTGTTGTTGAAAAATGTTGAATACATTGTTTAGTAACTCATTGGCGCCTTGTATACCATGGCTTGTTTGCACAGTGTGAAAGCTAGGTAAGGTTTTTCGGTTGTGTAGTTAGAATCAAAACCAGAGTCTCTACCAAATCGGTTGAAGTTGGCCTTGCCACTTGTGAAATATGAACTTGTTCTGGATGTGAAGGAATTAACGCTATATGATCAGCAAAATTTTGTTGTGGAGGAAGAGGCGGTTGATTACTTATTACAAAGGCGGTAATGACAACTTTCCTCTCAGTGGTGGATCTGGTAGTCTTAAATCTATCCATATCTGTTGAAAATAAAAATTGATGATCCATTTTTTTTGAAGAAGTTAGACTGAAGTTGTGCTAAGTCAAATCAGAACCTGATAGATCTTCATGTTTGATTACAATTATTTTCTCTAGTGATCAGAATGAGTTATGAACTATGAAAGTCAAATAACAAACACAAATTTGTGGAAGTCATAGGAAACACAAATAGATTCCCATAGAAGACACCAATGTTCCATCCTGGAACCAGAAAGATAAGTTTAATCAGAGGTGACACTGGATCACAACCTTCAAAATGATGGAGTGGAGGTACCTACAAGGTTAGCATTCCAACGCTCAAGTCAGAATATGAAAGAGAAGAGCAAAATGAATATTGTATTTGAATTATGTTACCTTGATTTGGCGCTTACTCTATATTCATACATAGAGAAAAACATAAAGAACTAGTTATTTGTGTATCACTCTTCACAGATGGTTGCTGAATATGCTTTACGGTTGAGATCTCTCGCGGCCCTGAGAGAAACTTTCTACGATGATCTAGAAGGTTCTTGAAGTACTGGGAACTTTATTGGAATGTTGACCAAGACGGCGCGATAAGATTAGTTCGTATGTGGTCTTCTTGGTCAGCCCAAAACAAATGATAATACGAATCTACAACTGCTATGTAGTCAAACACGTAGGCACACTTGACTAAATTGCGTAAACAAATTTCATGTTCATTGTTTGCAATTTATACTTCTATTTACTCTTTGTTACTAGTTGTTGTTTAAACCATTGATATCAAATTACAATTTAATTTGAGGTGGAACAATTCGAAGGAACAAACACATTCGAATTGGGCAAAAAGTGTAAGGATTTGTTGGCTCAACAAGGTTTACAACAGGCGCTATTTGAATCGAAACTAGAAGACATGGCATATGTCGTTTGGTTAGAGTTGTAGGAAAAAAACTACAAAATTGATATGTCTATATGTTTCAAATAAGGTGATGTATCATATCCTTGAGATTCAGTATCTATCCAAGTCATTGATGAACAATATATTTGCAAAGTAGCAACTATACAATCTAAAGATGAAGGAAAAATCCAATTTAAAAAAACGTATCAATACCTCTAACAATGTAATCATTGGAGTGATATGGTTACAAACACTACTATAAAATTCGTAAACAACAACGCCATGGTCACCACGGTTCTTCACTACACCGTGGTGACATCTATAAAGTAAGGCGCTCCCATATTATTTTTGTTTTCTAATTAAAAATTATTTGTATGTAACAATGGTTGAGAAGCCAATCGTGGTAAAACCATCAAACTTTCATGGGTTCGAACCTCAGCACCATCATATATATTATTCTTTTAATGTCAAGGCACACATTTTCTTTTTTATTTATTTTTATATAAAAAAATTAAAGGGACATGACTACGATTGGTATGTTCCACCGTTGTGATATATTTAAAACCATCAAACTTTCATGGGTTTGAACCTCAGTGCCATCATATATATTATTCCTTTAATATTAAGGAGCTCGTTTTCTTTTTTATTTATTTTTATAAAAAAACTTAAAGGGACATGACTACGGTTGGTACGTTCCACCGTTATGATATATTTATAATAACTAAATACTTATCAATTTGGTTGTCAAAGAACTGTTGTGAAATAATTTACCCATATATAAGCGAATTAACTCTCACCGATTGACAGTAGCGTTATTTCCTTCACAGTGAAACCCTAGTACTCATTTTTTCTCTTCTTCTTCGCCATTAGCCGTGAATATTGTGCTTCATACGTTGAGGTATTCTTCTTCTTACTTCTTATTACATATTATTGTTAGATAGTTCCCCATTATCTCGTTTGTTGCATGCTATTTTTGTTGATTAATTGTTCACATTTTTTCGAATTCGTCTTCACTACCTTAACAATAACCATACTTTGGCTATGGTACATATTATTTGTGTAGCTATGGAAAAAAGTCCAAAAAGCATGCAGCTATGATGGAAGCTTCATTCACCTTGTACTTTTTCTTCATAGTTTCACAAACAATATGTTTTTCATACTCTATTGAGAAATAAGTTTGCATTTTCACATGTTGATAACTTTCATGGTTATTGTAGGGCTCGACAAGAACAACACATTTTAGTTAATGAAGAAACAACAACGACAATAAATTTCATCTAGTTTGAGATACAATGAGAATAAATATAAGAAGTATGAAATTGTTGTGTAAGCTTCTTCCTCCTTATATTTCTTTTTCATTGCTTCACAAACTAGATGAATTTTAAAATTGATTCTTGTTCCACAATTAGTTTCAATAAAAGGTGTGTCCTAGAAATTTATAGTATTTCTTTTTTATTGCTCACAAATTTATAATATCTGGTTCTGTTGTATGATGTTGTTTGAGTTTATTATATTCTATGTAGATTGTTTGTTTCACTAACCCTCATTTAAAATACATTAATTTAAATTGACATAGATACTTATAATGTGCAAATTAAATTGTATTTGAAACCAACTTATATCAGTCATTGTTTCCGAATTGCATGCGTCTCATCATTCATTTGATGTTATCAAAGGAGTTAGACCAATAAACCATAATATATATATATATATATATATATATATATATATATATATATATATATATATATATATATATATATATATATATATATATATATATATATATATATATATATATATATATATATATATATATATATATATATATATATATATATATATATATATATATATATATATATATATGTGTGTGTGTGTGTGTGTGTGTGTGTGTGTGTGTGGTGTGTGTGTGTGTGTGTGTGTGTGTGTGTGTGTGTGTGTGTGTGTGTGTGTGTGTGTGTGTGTGTGTGTGTGTGTGTGTGTACGTGTGTGTGTGTGTGTGTGCGTGTGTGTCTGTGTGTGTGTGTGTGTGTGTGTGTGTGTGTGTGTGTGTGTGTGTGTGTGCGCGCGCGCGCGTGTGTGTGTGTGTGTGCGCGTGTGTGTGTGTGTGTGTGCGTGTGTCGCATGCAATAAAAAAAACAATGGTTTGTTTAAGTTGGTTTTCAAGAATAGCTTAATTTTCAGATTATAGACTTCTTCATCAATTCAAACGTTTGTATTTATTTAGTGAGGTGTATGGAAAACAAGAAATCTACATATTATATAATAAACTCTGGGTACTTTTCACAACGGTTATCTATTATAACCGTGATCAAATGTCATTTACGTTTTATATAATTTGATATTGATAGGTTTCTAACCTAGTACCTAAGTGTATATATCACAACGGTTTATAAGTATAACCGTTGTAATAAGTGACACGTGTCCTGCATTTCAATAATGGTTTCCAGACCGTGATAGAAACAACGAACTTATAATCACACCCTACTTAACAACGGTATGACCCGCGTGATGGTACCCCTTACCAATCATCGTGAAAGCTATTTTCTGTAGTAGTGAAATACATTAGACATTGGAGGAGAGATTCTACAAATAAAAAGATAGAGCAACAAGTTCTTCATACATGGTCCATGCTAATGACTCTTGCTATGAAGGATATATACTTTGTGTTATACCTTGCAAATGTACAAAAGCATAAATTCTTGACTGTGTATGCTCTTATCACATGACACCATATTGAGAGTGGTTCAACACATTCAAGTCAGGAAGTTTCAATTTTTTTTGGATGAGGATAAAACATGCCTCATCACTAGAATTAGACAAATTAAAACCACTATGAATGACGATGGTTCACAGACTTTGAATGATGTTAGGTATATCCCAACTAAATGGTTTCTATTACATGTCTAATAGGTTTATGGATATTATGAAGGTCAACAAAGGTGCATTGTAAATAATGAGACAAAGAGGACTACAAGTAACATTAACACTTTGATGGAGAATAATATTATAGGTGATGTTGCATCAATTGAGTTTGATTATGATGCAACTAAACTTTGGCACATGGGTATAAGTCATCTTAGTGAGCATGGATGATGAAACTTCATAAGAGAAATTTAATGAAGGATGTTCCCAATTGTATGATGGGCTTATGCATGTATTGTATACTTGAGAAATAATATTGTGTTCGATTTAAGACTGAGAAACCCAAAAACAAAGGGAGTCCTAAACTATGTTCATTATGATGTGCACGAGCTATCAAAAAATCTTATATGTGTGGTTCTAGGTATTTTATGACCTTCATTGATGATTTTTCTTACACAATGTTTGGATATATTTCTTGAAGTAGAAATATGAGGGATTTTTCAAATTCAAGTTATGGAACATAGATGTAAAGAATAAAAAAGGATGAAAAATCAAGTATATGCAACCAAATAATGATACAAAGTACACTAATTCAAACTTTTAAATTTTTTTGTGCGGAACATGATATTTAAATACATTTTTTCAGTTTGGAAGACACCACAACATGGTGTGGCAGAAAGAATTAACATGTCTCTAACTGAAAGGATAAGATGTCTCTGGTTGAATGTTGGTTCCTCAAAGAAATTTTGGGAAGAGGCTATTAACATAACATGTTATCTCATCAACAAGTCATCATGAGTTTCTTCTGACAAAAGTTTGTATAAGTGATATTTGCAAACAACCCTACTGATCTTGATAATTTATAAATTTTTGGGTGTACGAAGTATGTGAGTATATCTAGTGAAGATTGGTCCAAACTTGATTCAAAGTTAAAGACGTGTGTATTTATAGTTAGACAAAATGTGTGAAGCATTTCAAGTTGTAGGATCGAGTTTCAAAGAAGATGGTTATCATCAGAGATGTTTTCAGAACTCATATGACACTAATATTTCCAATGAGCGATGTGCTAGTAGTACATGGATCACAAAGAGAACAAAATGGCGTTACTGAGTTCATCAAGGGCCTGGAGATTTAAGTGGAGCACAAAATCATTCTCTTGTACGTGACAGAGAGCGATGTTAGATTAATCCATCAGAAAGATATGAATATGAAGAATTGACAACTTGTGCACTTCTTACTAGCATGTGGAGATCCTTCCACCTTTCAAGAGGTTATATCTAGACATGAGAAAGATAAGTGTGTGGGTACTATAATGGAGGAGACATAGTCCTTGATGAAAACTCATATATGAGAGATATGAGAGTCTGTTCAGAAGAGAAAACCTATAGTAATAGAAAAAGAAGGAAAAACGTTCAAGGCTCGCCTTATAGCAAAAGGGTGCTCACAACAAAAGGGAATTGACTATGTCGAGATTTAATCTCTAGTCATCAGACATACTTCTATCAAGACAGTGTTATCTTAAACATCAGTTAAGACATACATTTAGAGCAGATGGATATAAATACGTAATTTATTTAGAGTAATCCATATGAGTAGATTTACATTGAACACCTAGAAAATTTCAATAATACTAAGCACAACATTGTAGTTTGTAAGTTGAAAAAATCGATCCTATTCAAATGAATGGTACAAACACTTTAATTCATACATGTTTTGGATTGATTATAGTGAACATGACTATATAAAAATTATGTTTATGTTAAGAACTTTGACGATGATTTATTTATTTTCTTTATTATTGTATATTGAAGATATTAGATACATAAATCCATCTAATATTTAAGTGATAAAAGATTAAATTTTTTATGTTAAATGCATATTTTAAATTTATTTATATGATATGATAATCATAGTATATGCTATATAGTTATTTATCACATCTATCCGGCCTAGTAACATGAAATTTACTATATAAAAGTAATATATAGTTATTTATCACATCTATCCGGTCTAGTAGCATGAAATTTACTATATAAAAGTAAGAAAATACTAGCAACACTATTTTTAAGCACTTTCTAAAATTCATTATTTTTATCAAATAAAATATATGTGAATTTATTTTATGTGGAATTTATTTTCAAAATGAGGAATCCACGTTTCATTCAATAAAAATTTGAAAAATGAAGGTTAGACAATTAAAAAGAAAGTGTTTCTAACACTTCTCTTATAAAAGTAATATGTGTATAGAGAGATCTCAATATAAATAGTGTTTGGTCTCCTTCTCTCTGTCCTAACATTATGTTTTCAAAGGACATGAATTTGAAATGGGTTTCCTTGGCTTGTTTCTATTATTCAGAAGTTTGCATCTTAAGATTAATAATTGAATAATTAATGGGCCACACCAACACTTTTTGTACAATTGCGACAACATAAAAAGTCTCTCAATTAATCCAACTTTCTTACCAAACAATGATTAACTCTTACAACTTTACAATCAAACTAAAAATAAAAAATCATAAATCCAACATGAATCACATACATCACATAAACAATACTAATAATAATCATAATTTAAATAAGCTCACAAAAAAAATTAAAAATCATTAGTAAGAGGTGCGTGTTCAGAAGAACGCATGAAGACATTGCCATAGACAAGCCCAGCCAGCCCACCACCAATAAGAGGCCCAACCCAATAGATCCAGTTGTCATGAAAATCACCACTAACAACTGCAGGCCCAAAAGATCTTGCTGGGTTCATCGACCCACCAGAGAATGGGCCTGCTGCTAATATGTTAGCACCAACAATGAAACCAATAGCAATGGGTGCAATTGTGCCTATTGATCCTTTCTTAGGATCTGCTGCTGTTGCATAAACTGTGTACACCAAACCAAACGTTATGATTATTTCTGTAACTACTCCTCCAATAATTCCTACTTCAGCTGCCACACTATGGATTGGAGTTTCCTGAAAAACAACAAATCACAATATAAGTGTCGTTGGGCAGGTTAATCACACTTTAACTATGACACAGAGAGATTTTATTTAACTATAATTTAACCGTGTCGGACGGTAGTCTGTCTTATAGGCTCTCTGCCATGAGTGTAATGTAGTATATTTTCCGTTGAACTTACCAATCCTCCGGTGACAAACTTGAGAAGAAAACATGCAACAATGGCGCCAAGAAGCTGTGCAATCCAGTAGAAGATACCAGTGATGATAGTGATCTGTCCACCAAGAGCCAAACCAAAAGTGACAGCAGGGTTAACATGGCCACCAGAAATGTTAGCACCAACTGAAACAGCAACAAACAGTGCAAAACCATGGCAAACAGCAACTGCTAGTAAACCAGCTGGATCAAGAGCTGCATCTGATGTCAACTTACCTACAAATCAAGTCAAAGTTTAATAATCATAATCTTTCCTATTAAAAAAAAAAGTTATATATTCTTATTTTTATCGTAATGATGATGAGAGAATTACTAAGAACTAACCATAGGCTATGGCAGAACCAACACCAGCAAAAACAAAGAGTAAAGTTGAGATGAATTCAGCAATATAGGCCTTAATTGACCCAAAACTGAAAGAATCATCAAACCTTCCAAATGCTATGCCAGCCATTTTGTTTACAAGTTTCTAGGGGAACCTTTCAAAATAGTTTAGACTAGAGGATAAGATAAAGAAATATGTTACAAAAGCCTTCTCTAGTATGCTCTATATATAGTAGATCAAAATATCATATACTAATGTATAGGCTTATTTATTAAGTTGATTAAACTTTATACTATTATTTAAAGTATTTAATGGTCCCGTTAATTCAACGGAGAATAATAGATGGTAAAAATGTGAATTCAAAATAATGACATCTCATATATTTTCTCTTATCTATTAAATTAAGTAGAATCTTGTTAAATTTATAGTCTAAAAAAATGCATATTCTGACATTCAAAATCTTAATAATGGTGGTTTAACATAATATTATTTTTTATTTATTATAATTTAAAATACTTAGCTTGAATTTAAAATATTTAATATGATCTAACAATTATTTATACTCCAAATGTTGTGGAAATCCTATCCATTAAAAAGTGTGTAAAAAACATTTTTACAATATAGTACAACTTATTTTAATGTATGTCATGGATAAAGGTATACATACAAGAGTATATATAAATATAACCATGCAAATCCAATCAAGTCATTTTAGTGGCCAAACTTAGCTGTCATTTATTTGCTTTATTTGAATTGTCTGGAAGCCAATCAATGATTCCTCCATGTGAGCAGAAGAAAGTGGTAGAGGTTGTGTTTGGTGGTGGGGCAGAATGTGAGTGAAATAATCACTTAAAAAAAAGTAAAAGTGGAGAACATGAATAGATTTGGGCCACTAATAGCACCGGCCATGCTCTAAAGAATTCTGGAATTTGAAATTTAATGAGTAGTAATATTTGTTAGTTTCATAGTATATCTCAAATGAGTTAATGTCATATATTTTTGTTGTTTAGTTCTACATTATGGAAAAGTGGTCGGTTAATTGGTGCTAATGAAAGATATCTGTTTGGACTTTTTGGGTTTTCGGTTTGTTAAAGTTTTAGGATAAAAGCAATGGTTAATTATGGTTTATGTAATTTGTCCATTTGTTTTTTGGACTAGTTTCTTTTAAATTGAGCTCTCACTCTACAAGATTACAGGGATTTTACTTTCATTTAGGTAAATATAATTTAATTAGGTTGTACTACAATAAGGCATTTTAATCATTGTTGATGAGTTAAGTATTTTTTTTAATAAGCATTTCAATCATTGAGTTAAGTATTAATATTCCTCTGTTTTAAATTGAGTATGATTATGTTTTTATACAGATTAAAAAATACAATAATAATAGTATCAATTACACTTTATTTTTGTTAAATTAATTTTATTAATATATTAAAAATAGTTTATACAATAATAATTAAATCACACAGAGAAAATAATAATAATAATTTTCACATTAAAAAAAAATTGTGATTTTAGAATAAATTTTATACTAAAACAAAGGTGACATTAAAATTCCTTCCATCTATTAAAATTTCTTTCATTTGTAAACTAAAGAGTTTTGAAGGTTAAAATTCAAATTAACTTAGTTTTTTTGGTAAGTGGTGTTGTAGATTTATATCTTAAGTTATAGAGTTTGGGAGTGATATCTTATTTGTTAGATATGTTGATCTTGTGATTTCTTCTTTGAAGAGAGGTAGGTTTTCTAATTTTTCGTGTAGATTCATCATGATGGAAGAGAATCTCTTAAGTTTTAAAGCTTGTGATTTTTTTTGACTTGTTTGTAGAACGAATCAATAGAGAAAAGGGAGACAGTTTAAACACCTCTATATGAGATGATCCTTTAATAAGACTTAACCTTTTAAAGTGAAGTTTCACATGATTTATCTTATTGACCGTAATCACATAAGTCAATAAAAGAGGTGGTAGTATATGGGGGAATTGAGGTAGATTTTTTAATGGATGGGGTATTTCTTTGTTTGAGAACAAGCATTAGTGAACAACTTTTTGTGACAACAGATAGGAAAGAATGAGGTATACTCAGTTTCATAGCTTACAACTCTCTCATTCGAGATAAGTTTCGCCCCATTTCTCCCTCTAAATAGATGAGATTAGGATATGTATTCTATTTGAATTATTTGGGTTATGCTTTCTATCTGAGTTAGGTTAACTTCTTCCAATGTGATTCTTATCTTAGAAACTTCTTATGGATAAATTCTCATCTAAAGTTAATCTAGCTAAGCATGGGTTTTCTTTAGATAATATATGAGTGTCTTGTAGTCTTCGTAGGAGTGCCACAAAGTTTGGTTCTTATTATTTGTCACATGTGATATAGTCTTGACTCATTTATTGGTCTTTTGTTATGAATATAAATATTTTATCGCTTTTTGAGTCATTTTTATTTTAGGAGTATCGACTAAAATAAGAGGGAGACTTTTGATGGTCTGCCATGTTGTGGTATGAGTTATTTGAAAGTTTCGAATGGTTTGATTTTTTCAAATAAAACTATTAATGTGGAGGAGTTGGAGGTCATGAACATCACTTTGGCTTGGAAATGATATATAAGAAAAATTTCAAATTACTTACTGTGAAAATGAAAGGTTCAATCAAATCAAGAATTTCGATGTGTGAGGATAAAGAATAATGACAACAAAAATAAATGGTCTTCAGCAAAAATAATTCTTTGTGCAATAAGACATCAAGTTAACTGCAAAGATAAAAGATAAGAAACACAATAACTTATTTACCCAGTTCGATTAAACAATCTACTTTAGGGGAGAGAGTAACTTTTGAGTTCACTAAATTTTCAAAAATTGTTAGAAAAGATTACAAATGAATATCAAGAAAATAGTTATCCAAGTTTCTAAAAAACAATCATATTTTCTACCTAACTTTCTCAACAACTCTCTACACGTGAATCACATAAGCCTAAGATATTTAGAAGTTTTTTCCAATCCCCGTTATATATCTCCAAAGGCTTCTCAAATTCCGAAAACACACTCTTATAAATTTACCCTTATCTCTCTAAGACTATTACTAGGATTCTCAAACTCTTTGCTCTGTTTTCAACTCTAGATTTTTGAAGGTTGTTAAAACAAGAATGATGGAGATACATATTTATAACTTCTGAAACCCAATAGATACTTAACGGGCCCAAAACACAACTCTTTAACAAACTAATTGACATACCGAAATAACCAAGTGCGATACACGAAAACTGATTGAATCGAATCTGATATCATTATCGGCAGGCCGTCGCGCAGGCCCCAACACCGCCCTCTCTAGAATTTTAGGCTGATTCCTAATTTCTACAATCTCAAAACTTGCGTCATTTCTCTTTATTATTTAAGGTTTTAAAGTATATTTTAATATCAGTCTTGCCATTTATCTATTTGGTTAAAGAATCCTACATTCACTATAAGCGAATAGTGATTTTGAATGTATATGACCTTCTTAAAACGGAGTATCCTTCGTTTTCTTGTGAAAATTTATGTTTTGGCTCATTAGCATTGAGTTTTAGATGTGATATTTTTTTAGAGTAGTCTTTTGTGTTGATATTTTTGTTGGTTGTGGTGTTTTTAAGAGATGTCATTGTTTTATTTCTTTTCACAAAATTTTTTTAATGTAATTTTTGTTTGACTTTGTCAGATATTTATTATGTTGAGTTTAAGTGTGTAGATCTTTCTGTAATGTTAGTTGTATTTATTTTTTTATTTATTAATATATACTTTGTCATTAAAAGAAAACATTTTTAAACAAAGGGATCAATGCAATTTAACCTATGGTTATTTTGCACTGGTAAGAAAATTGATTTGTTTTGTATTATTTAATCAAGGGGTGACTTTTTTCTTAATTTACTTTAAAATAAATTGTGCACTTTGAAAGAATTAGAAATCATCTCGTTAATTTACTAGTAAAAATTTAATAGTGTAACCTCATTACTAAAAATCTAAATCTTTCTTAAATTCTTAAAAAATAAAACAAAAAAGATCTATGAAATATACTTTTGGATATCAACATGTGATCCTTTGGATATGGGCCTAAAATTGAGGGTTAAGTGGCCATTGAATGGTCTATCCACAGTCCTTTGGCTGCTCTGTTATGATTTTTGAACAAATTTCAATTTGCAGAAACCATTTTTTTGTAATGCTCATAAATTTTTTAATTTCAACCTAGTGTCACTTAAAAGATGCATAACAGTTAAAACATTGATCAACAGTTAAAATTCATCTTTGGATGCTTTTCGGGAGTAACTAGCTGCGGCAATGCAACAATGGATTTGAATTAGTAGGAGACAACAAAACAAAATAATGGAGAAAGTGCAAAAACAAAATGACAACGATATATTTCAAGTCTAATTGGTAGCAAATGGCTTACATTACTATTAAATGTGTAATTTAGTATTTGTTATATTTAGAACATTCTCATTTAAGGCCTATGTGACATTCTTATCTTTACTATTTTTGTGTATAAATAGGTGTACTAGATTTCATTAATTACAACAATCCCTTTTCAATCATTTGTGGCAGCTTTATATCATTCATCACTTTCTCTCTTCTTCCTCAATTTCATCACCTTGCACCAACAAAATTGGTATCTAGAGCACTTGGTTCTTCTAAAATTCTGGGAAACACAAGTGAAAAGTGAGTTGTGTGTTTGGTTTCTGTTGAATCTTCAACAAAATATGAACATAATCACACTGATTCTGTGGGTTTGGGAAACACTGAGTGAGAATCTGAGATCTGAGATTTGTGGAAGGTTTAAGATGAGTGGAGGTAGTAGCTTGAACACTAAACTTCCAATTTTTGATGGAAAAAGCTGGAACAGATGGATGATATAAATGCGTGTGCTATTTGGTGCTCAGGATGTTCTGGATCTTGTTACCAATGATTACGTTCCAGTAGCAGCAGATGCTATTGAAGAACAAAGATCTGCAGAAAGAGCTACGAGGAAGAGGGATCAAAAAGCTCTGTTCTATATCCATCAGTGTATGGATGAAAGTGTGTTTGAGAAGATTACTGATTCGACGATGTCGAAAGAGGCATGGGATATACTAGTCAGATGTTACGGTGGTAACGCGTCAGTGAAGA